AGAGATAAATTTTAAAAAATATTGTTGGTAGGTAAAGTAATATGTAGACTAAGAACAGACTACTGGAATTAGCAAAGTGCTCATCATTGATGTCCTTGGCAAAGAGTTTTGGTGGAATGGGGGAGGCAAAAATTTGAGCGAAGTGGATTTAAGAATGGGAATACCAACACTGGGAAATAGAGTAGAGGTAACACTTTCGTAAGTTTTACCACAAAGGAGTAGAAGAAACAGGGCATTAGCTGGTGGGGGAAGTGACATGAAGAAAGTTTTGTTTGGCTTTCTAAGATGACAGAAAAAACAGTTGCACACTGATGGGAATGATTCTGTAGAGAGCAAAAACTTGACAGAAAAAGGAGAGAGAAGGTAGAATTGATGAAGGAAAGTTCTTGAGTAAAGGAAGAATGTTTAATGGACAACTGAAATGAATGGTTTTAGACAAGAGCAGGGAAAATCTACCTACAGTAATTGATGAGAAGGCAGACTATGTGGGTATAAATGCTGCTTCATTAAGTAGTTGTTGGTATGAGTTTGTGGAAGTTCACTTTTGATTGCTTCAGTTTTCTCAGTGAAGTAGGAAAAGAAGTAAGGTCATTAGCTGGGAGAGTATAAAAAACAAGAAACATTGTGGGGGTTGTGGTAGGGACAATTCTTGGAAAACTTCCATGATCTCTACCCACTGGCGTTACAACCTGTACAATCTTCTCCCCTTGAGTGTGAGTGGGACACATGATTTACTTCTCACTACAAGAATATGGAAAAAATGATGCAATGTAATTAGCATGATTAAATTAAGTTGTAGGGTAAAGGAGGTAAGAAAGTTACTCCTGTGATTTGCTTCAATATATAAGACTCCATTTTTGCTGGCATACAATGGAGAGAGATTCTCCTAATGGACTTGCATGAAGCAAACAGCCAAGTTTTGATGGCCCTGTGGAGAGGGTCATGTGGCAGGTAACCGTGGGTGGCCTCTAGAATCTGAGAATTGCCTGTAGCCATCAGCCAGTTACAAGTTGTGGCCCTCAGTGAAACAGCTTAAAAAAAAAAAAAAAAAAAAACCCTCACAAAAACTGAACGCTGCCAACAACCAACAACCTGGATGAACAGGGAAGCATATTAGTCAAACCTATAGAAGAGATTGCAGCCCAGCTGACACTGATTACAGCCCTGTGAGGTCACAAGCAAAGGGCTCAGCCTGCCTGGCTTAAATCATGCCTGGGCTCTTGACCTACAGAAATTATAAGAATATAAATGTGTGTTGCTTAAGCCATTAAGTTTGTGGTAATTTGTTTTACAGCAATAGAAAATTAATACAGTATTGAAAAGAGAGGAGAACTTGTGAAATAGTCATCTAGAGAATAAGAAAGTCAATGAGCTTATGAATGACAGAATTAAGAATCTATTTGTGACTTGTGGTCATGAATTTAAAGTGAGACCAATTATTTTTATTTTTATTTTTCTGTAGCCACAGTAAGGGTACTATATATCAGCTACCTATTTTCATGTGTTTTATACATTTTGATAAATGCTTATAATTTCAAACTTATCAGTAAATAAACAAATGTTTATAAACACATATTTCTGAAATCATTCTCTTATTTTTTCATGAAATTTCAGAAAAATTCCAGGAGAGCTAACAAGAAGGACTAAGATTAAAACCAAAATTTAATTTTTGGTACCACTGATTAACCAAACCATTTTGTTGAATCTTAATGGAGTGACTAAGTAACTTAGTATTAATAACTTAGAACTGATTGAACACTACTGATTCTGTTTAAGTTTTATTTGAAAGTTTAAACATGTTGCTTTAAAGAATCTGATCTATTTACTGTATCTTTATATCTGCTTTGTATTTAAAATTCCATATGTAGAAAAATATCAAACTTGTACCTTACAATATACAACACATGTACAGAAGAAGTTGTCAAACTGGTAGTTCTTATAACTTTTCTTTTTCAGTAGGGGAAGAAGAGCAATTTTATGTACTTTTAGGCAACAAGTAACTGAGTACTCTTTCTAGAAAATAATTGTAAAGTAGTTTAAAGGAGACAGGCTTTAATTACAGAAATATTTTAGACTTGAAAAAACAGCCAATACTAATACTAGAATCTTTCCAAAGGCAAAACTCAAAAGCTTTAATAAGCTATTTGCTTTATTATTTACTATGTTAAAGAATAATCCTTTTCATTATCACTTGACAGGTAAGAAATTAAACATAACCTAAAATTTATATGATGCTTGTTACATTCAAGACACTGTTCTAAGAAGAGGTAATTGTTCTTCACTTCTTATGACAACTCTATGAGGCGATATTATTTGAATTTCACTGATGCGAAAACTGAGAATTAAGGTAACACACAAGACTGGAGATCAGTGGCATGATCATGGCTCACTGCAGCCTTGAACTCCCGGGCTCAGGCACTCCTTCCGCCTCGGCCTCCAGGTAGCTAGGATTATAGGCAAGTGCCACTGTGACCAGTTAATTTTCAAATGTATACATTTTTAGAGACAGGGTCTTGGCTATGTTGCCCAGGATGGTCTAAAACTCCTGGCCTCAAGTGATTCTCCTACCTCGGCCTTCCAAAGTGTTGAAATTACAGGTGTGAGCCACCATGCCATCATTTCATAAGACTTCTCATATAATAGTCTTTCAGTTTTAAGGAGGAAATTATTACAGGACAACACTGTAGTCAGAGTATGTCAGTCTGACCTATGGAAACGTGTTAAGGGGTCTCAAGGTTAATAAAGTAAAATTCGGTATGTACTGAAACATGTCATCATTTTTAAAAGAATAAACAGTATTTTTAAATATTGGAAATGCAGATCAAACTTACTCCTTGAATAGTTTTCTGTGTTTTTTATTTTTGGTTTTCTGAATATTGACAATCCATTAGTTCTTTTTATTACAAATAGCTTAAGATGATCATATTAGAACCTATTTTCTTATCTTGTTATACACTTCCAGATATAAGTCAGTATAGCAAAGCTATATTAATTGGGACTATTGACAAGAAACAAATGAACAACAAAAAATACATTTCCTTCTGTCCTACCACATGATTAGAATCTACTGGAAAATACTGTTGAGGAAAAAATAATTACAAACTATTAATAATAAGAAAGATTGATGATTACAATTCTTTCTATGAATTACAGATTTTGTTTTGTTCTTCTCTTATATCTTGCTTCATGATATCCAGGAGATATTATGCTTCTTTGTACAAGAACAGAAGAAAACAGAGTATAAGTAACAATATAACAGAGTATAGTGGACAGAATATAAAATTACAAATGACTTATTTCAAAATAGCAAAACTTAAATTTGGCAAGCACTTTATCTAGAGGGTAAAAATATAATATTAGTAAACTTAAATATATAATTAGCCTTTTAAGAAACCATTTTATAAAGATTCACATGCTCTTATAAGAATAAATGAAAGAAAATACAAATTTAGCTTCAAAGGCAAAATTATTAAGGAGATTTTCTCTTCTAGATCCAGGGATTTTTACCTTGAGAAAAATCATTCGTTTTATTTTTAGTGTGGTTGTGTTTGTCATGTTTACATTTGGAAAAGACAGAATGATAAAGTACAAAAGAAATATTAAAAACATAAAATCAGTTGTTTTCCTAAAAGGTTTTTACACCATACAATTAAAGCTCAGTAAAAGATAAGGTATGTAGAGTAAAAATGTAAGTATACTTTTAAACCTCATGCATTTGTAATACAAGCTTGATTGTCACTTTATGTAATACCATTTCCTTCAAAGAGAAGTGTTGGTTTTTACCACGGGAGATGTGTACTTTACTAACCAATTTATTGGACCTAAAAATGTTTGCATTATAAAATACTTTTGTTTGAAGGGAACGCTATTGCATAAAATGAAAATCAAACCTGTAATATAAAATATCATCCTAAATATCAGTTTTGCTTCCAGTTATTATATTTAAATCTTTCTTCAGGTTGCAAAAGTATTAGGATCAACAAATCAGCAAAATAGTTCTGATAGTCTTATATTAGATAATACGAAAAAATCACATTTAATATATTTAGCAAATATAGTTCAAAGTTAATAATTCGTTAGTCAACTATATGAAAAATATATTAAACAGATAAGCTTTTATTTAATATTTAAATAACCCCATAAAGCCTTTTATTATTAAAAAAGCAAAAATATTAAAGAAAATAACATTTCTCACCTAAATGAAGCTCAACTCACACAAAATAAAAATGTGTTTAATAATTTTAATAAATATATTATTCAACATTTGTCAAATTAAAGTACAGTATGACTCTGAATTACACAAATATTTTAGATAATCTTCTTATATTTGTCAAAAATAACCACATTTTTGAAGAATGACCTACAAATAGTACCAACACAATCATAAATCAAACTAATAAAATATATTCTACTTGCAAAGTTTGTCAGTCGAGCAATGAAAATGCTTAGAATTTTCTCCTGAGTTGTTAAACATTAAAATTACCACAAATACCAATTTTCAATTCTTTTAGATTGTTAGAAATGCTTTTCATCAATAGTTGAAAGTTGTTTACATAATAAGGCATGTCTCAAATAAAAAGCAAATAAAATTGCGTTCACTTTTAAAGATATACCTTTGCTCAATTTATACATTTATTTTTTACATATATGATATCCTTAACTTACACATGAAAAATTCTAGGAAGATACAATAAGGGAAATTAAAAATACCAATTCAATAAATAGCCTTCAGAGCTCCATTACGTAGTCACAATTTTAAGGAAAAATAATAAAAAATTATAGTAGTTTAATATCTGAATATAGTATTTGTTATCTAAAATTAGAAATGCATACAAAATTTTAGAAATAATTGATTTTTCTTTCTTAGGTTATTTGGAATCTGATTATGGTGCATATATGTGAATGAACGAATAAATCCTTAACCCACCATTATCTTTTTCTCCAGTTTGCAGGCAATCACCCGTGAAAAGTATGGTGTAGATGACAGGATGATACTGTACCTGATTAGCTCTGGAGGTGGTCATGGGATCAGATGGAGAGGACTTGGTGGTAGTTGGGGAAGATGGCAATGTCTGGGAAACAAAGCAGTTCAGGAGCAAATCAACCTTTATAAGCCTTAAACTGATTATTTAAATAAAACAAAATAAAATAAAATGTAATATAACGAGAACAAAATCCTATGAACAAATTTTTCTCCTATTCATTTGAAGTTAATGGATTTTAACATCAATTAAGTAACTAATGCATGTAAACATGCATGCATAAGCATGTAAAAATAAATTCATGACTTGAAATCATGATGGTGACTGATAAAAAATTCACATGAGTACTAAAAGTATCCTGATCATATTCATGAATAATAGTTTCATTTCTTTCCCTCTTGTTTTCTTGGGGGAAAAGAGATGTACAAAAAAAAAAAAAAAAAAAAAATTCAAGAAGTTCAATGAATAAAACCAAAAGAGTCACTTTCCTATCAATGAATACAGTCAGAGATTTGAAGAAGTGGTGAAATGAAGTTTACTTTGGCATAAAATTATCCACCTACTTAATATGTTGAACATCACCAACAAGTTGATTCCACATGAATTTAGGGATCCATACTTAAAAGCAATTAAATGTGAAGTTCTGAGTTCTTAATATCACATTATCTTCTAAAATATTAATTTTTAATAAATTTAAGGCCCGTCTGAAAATGTAAACATTAACCTCATATTAATAAACAGGTAACTAATAGCATTCTAACAAATTATCATAATATTTTTATCATTTATCCTAAAGAGTAAATTTAATATAGATGAAGAGTATAATATAGCATCATCAGCTGTGTTAAAAATAAACACAAAAATGTTAGGAATCATATTTATTGTTCACTTCACTTCTAAACATATACACTTACTATATACATAATATGTTATATAAGGCCATCTATACATGTTGAACAATTCATTAAGATATTTTAAAAAGTTCTTATGTCTAACAGAAAAACCTTAAAAGTGTAAGATGTTAAGAATGTTTTTAAGTGTCATACGTTCATTAAGCAAAATAGCATTGCTTATGTTACATCCTCAATAGATAATATTTCTAAGTAGGTAAAATGGGATATGTTTTTATATTAAAGATACAATTGTATATGGGCATTATGTTTCACATTATATTAATATATATTTGTCAAAATTACTCAGATATGAGCAAAAGCATAACTTTAAAGGTTCAGCAGTGTCAGGAAAAGCAGATGAAATTACTTGAAGTCATATTTTTGCATTTAACATTTCAAAAGTTGTAATTTGGGTACAATAAAGCCATTAAGAGTAAAAAAAAAATAATAATAAGAAATTAGCAGGCTCCTGGTTAATTCATTGCCCTCCAGTAACAAAATACTACTGGTTCTAACATCATACCATGTTTTATATAGTCCACTCCTCAAATAATTCCCGATTCTTCTAAAGTTAAAACCTAAATACTTCTAGGAAGGCTACAACTAATAGTGAGTCAAACCAAGATTTTTACCAAATCATATTAAAAAAAGGGGTAGGTGAACTATAGTAATCAGTAAATCCTCAAAATTTTAAAAAGTTTTACATCTTTTATTTTCTATTTTTGTTTTTTAAAATTAATTCTTGCTATTTCTCAAGAGAGATTTCATTTTCAATAATTAAAAAATTCCCTAGTATTTTATTTTCCATGCAATACTATGCTGAGACATGTGCTAATGACTCCATGCTAAGATTTGTTCTATGAATTGAATAGTAAAGGTTTTATTTTTCTACCGTTGGTTACAACTGTTCCTACAGAGGATACCTGGGAGGAGTTAACATACATGTAAAAATCTGTTCTGTACTAATCTCAGATGAATAATGAATCTGGTGACTAAGTATGTGTTAAATAAATCTAGAGATCATTTCTCCCAATATAGCTTAGAATCCATGTTGATTAACCTACAGAAGCATGATTCTATGTGTGTTGAGCTCTTCTATTTCCATTAGAAGTAATATCTAATGGAAAATCATTCTGAAGTACTATAGGTTTTATATGACATCCACCTTGTCTTGGATACAAATTCTCAACAAGGTCTTAATTGCTAAGAACTATGTAGAAAAAGTTTAATTGCAAATTAAACTTTTAATTAAAATTAAAATTTAATATCAAATCACTCAGAATTTGTAATCACTTAGATTAATATGATCTTCTGTCAATTTTTATTGCCTTTCTGTTTGGCATATATATAAAATATTGGACATGTATTAATAATTGATACAACTTACATTCATCTAAATTGTCCTTAATAATTGTGATGCTGTTTCTTTTCAACAAGAATAAAATCAATGATTTTAAATTTCTAGATAATATTAATGTGCTTAAGATAATTAAAATTTTGGTCGGTAAACATCATAATCTGTTAAGAGGTTACATTTTAATATATTTAATAAACAAGTAAAAATTATGCAAGTTTAGGTTTCAAGTTATAAGACTGTTGAAATGTTACAGTAAGTTGTCTCTATATTTTCTTACTTTAAATTCTTAAAACAATGAAAATGTAATGAAATAAAGATGCGACAAGTTTTCCAGCTATTATTCATAAAAATACTTTTAAGCACAAAAGGATCCCTGCTTTATAAATTCAATTTATAACAATAAAAATATTCTGGAAAGTTTCGTTTCAGTTGATCGTTTTTTAAATACTAGGAGAAAAAGTGTTCTCATAAACAGCTAAATGTAAATATACTAAAGTAATACTTGTAAAAGATTATTAAATCAATGGAACAGGTGTGATAGTTGTTCTCAACCACATAGATAAAACCATACAGATTTTTTTTTTTTTTTTTTTTTTGAGATGGAGTCTCGCTTCGTTGCCCAGGCTGGAGTACAGTGGCCGGATCTCAGCTCACTGTAAGCTCCGCCTCCCGGGTTCACGCCATTCTCCTGCCTCAGCCTCCTGAGTAGCTGGGACTACAGGCGCCCGCCACCTCACCTGGCTAGTTTTTTTGTATTTTTTAGTAGAGACAGGGTTTCACCCTGTTAGCCAGGATGGTCTCGATCTCCAGACCTCGTGATTCGCCCGTCTCGGCCTCCCAAAGTGCTGGGATTACAGGCTTGAGCCACCGCGCCCGGCCCAGATTTCTTATAAAACAAAAATCCATTAAGAAATATTTCAATGTACATTTGTACATTCAATAAATGTACAAATTTTTTATTTCCTTAATATTTTATTTTCTTCTTATTATTATGTTATACAGACAGGGTCTCACTTTGTTGCCCAGGCTGGTCTCAAACTCCTGGCTTCAAGCAATCCTCTGCCTTGGCCTCCTAAAGTGCTGAGATTACTGGCAAGAGCTACTGCCCCTGGCCTGTTTCCTTAACATTTTATAAGCAAACTGTTTACATCCATTTACTGTGCAGAGTTAAAGCTTAGCGGTTTAATGTTAAATATCCTTTAGTAAAATTTCTGATATACATCATGAAGATGTAATTAACTGAATATCCACATAACATTATATATTGATGTATTAGTTAGAACAAAGTACACATTCCTACGAAATTTTTTTTCTACATTTTTCAAATAATGAATGTGAAGGACAGTCATTTCTTAGCGCCATTTTTTCTTTCAAATGGAAAAGCATAATATATATTTTATCTACATTACTTGAATGGCTGTTGAATACTTCTTTAGACATTGAAGGGTGAAAATACTTACTACAGAAAAATTACCAACAATTTTAAAACAGTGGATCTTTTGGAATAAAATTTTTTTAAAAATCAAGAATTTAACAGTAGGTACTTAATTAAATGTAGACATAACTGGGCTTTTGGAAATAAGTTCAAAATTATTACAAATTATGAGATGAATTCTTGTTAATAAATGACAGTTTTGCTGGGCCAGATAATATTATTATTAATAAACACTGTAATAAACAGAGCTTGCTTTCAAGCAAGTCTGCAGTAATAGACTGTCAAGAACCTCTGATATTTATAGGCAAAGTGAAAACAGCAGAGAACAAATCTCCATTGTAATTCAAAATCTATTACTAGTGAAGTAACATTACTGAAGTAATCACCTTCCCAAACCCCTATTTTGTGTTGTTAAATAAATCTGTATACTGTATCATTTGTATACATACTGTATCAAAATGAATAAAATATTTAAATATGTAACTGTCATCTTTAGTTTTTAATTTCTGACAAATATCCTCCTTTTTTTCCAACAAGCGAACTGTCTTCCAGCATCCAAGCTAGTCAATTCACAGTTCTCTTTTTCCTATGAATAGCTGTACCTACAAGCACTCTAAGAGCCTGTCTGGATTTTTAGTGCAAGAGAGAACAAACCGCATAAGTGACTTCTTTTTATTCCCCCAGAATCTTCTAGATAAATTAAAAGGTCTCTTTAGGAAAATGTTTGGCAAATCTGTATTCCATAGGATGTCCTTTGACTGGACAACAAAGGTTTTTCATTATCTGGCTCCATACTATCTATCTAACATTAATTCCCTCTCAACTGCAACATAAATGCCCCACTTCTGCCAATACATTCTCCTTACTATTCAACAAATATGATACTCTTCACTCCAAATTCATATCGTTTCACCTTCCTAAAATAAATGTTTTTCTTTCTTCTCCTCTAATTAGGCTATTCCTATACATTCTTCAAGGTCCAGTCAAGTTTTCCTCTATTTACAAGACTATTAACTGTCACTCTGGCCTGTATTTCTTTCACATGGCTCTGATTTTTTTTTTTTTTTTTTTTTTGGAGACGGAGCTTCGTTCTTGTTGCCCAGGCTGGAGTGCAATGGCATGATCTCGGATCACTGCAACCTCCGCCTACCGGGTTAAAGCGATTCTCCCGCCACAGCCTCCCCAGCAGCTGGGACCACAGGCATGCGCCACCATACCCGGCTAATTTTGTATTTTCAGTAGAGATGGGGTTTCTCCATGTTGGTCAGGCTGGTCTCAAACTTCCGACCTCAGGTGATCTGCCTGCCTCAGTCTCCCAAAGTGCTGGGATTACAGGCGTGAGCCACAGCACCTGGCCACGCCTCTGAATTTTTATAGCATATTGTATATATTATAGTTTTGGTATATTAATACAATTTTATTTATTTATTTTTTTCTTTTGAGATGGAGCTTTGCTCTTGTTGCCCAGGCTGGAGTGCAATGGCACAATCTTGGCTCACTGCAAGCTCCGCCTCTCGGGTTCAAGCCATTCTCCTGCCTCAGTCTCCCAAGTAGCTGGGACTACAGGCGCCCGCCTCCACGCCCGGTTAATTTTTTTGTATTTTTAGTAGAGACGGGGTTTCACTGTGTTAGCCAGGATGGTCTCGATCTCCTGACCTCGTGATCCGCCCGCCTCGGCCACCCAAAATGCTGGGATTACAGGCGTGAGCCACCGCAACCGACCTACAATTTTAATTTTTATAAGTTATTTTAAGTATTTATCTCACAAACTGGTCTGCAAGGGCAAGGGCTACAATTTAGTATATTTTGCTACTTACTAAGAAAGCATTTAGTAAATTCATAATTATTCATGTCAATGAATAATGAACAAACAAATTAACAAGTGCTATTTTTGTCAATTTATCATGATAACAGTAAAATTCTTTGGGTTAAATGAAACATTTTTGATATCTTACTTTGATTTTTTTTAAATACAAGAGAATTCTTTAAATGTCCGTAACCACTTCTTCCCTGATGTAGCTTTTAGAAAAAAATACATATGTGAATTAAGAATTAAATATTCAACAAGATCTAATATATCAAGTTATATATAAGGCTGTTGTGTTAAATTTCATTATTCTAGTATATGAAAGACCTGAGAGACCAGTAGGCACTACTTTCCCAAGAAATTATACTTGTCTGAGAACCCACTCAGTAAATAAGGGCAGTTTTCAACTGGGTAAAATACCTAGTTCATTCAACTTACTTAGTTTAAAACATACATAAGCAACATACAAAATATATTTTAATCTATTCTATTGCAAAATGATTTTAGACATAATTATTTTATACTGAATAACAGCATAATTTTTCAGAAGTAAAATTAAGGTCATTTAAATTTATATACTTATTATTTAGAGAATAATCCAGCAAAGAGTACTACATTGGTAAAACTGGATACCTAGAAAGTCAGAGAATCCCAAACTTAGAGCAAAAGGTCTGACTGATTTATAATATTTTGGAAATACATTTCACTGCTTTACTTGATTTTCAAGTAAAATTTTCAACTTTTATAATATAAAGAAAATATGTAAGTGTTAAATACAATGTCCTATTAGAGTTAGTGTTGTCTTTTTAATAAATCCTTTTAAATGATACACTGTCACATACATTATTGATTACATGAAAATATTAAATAACCAATAATATTTTTAATTCCATGAATACCTACAGGGCTTACAAATGGATGCAAATACACAAACGTCAATAAATCATTATTATTTTTTATACTTATCTTGAATTTAAATAACATTATCCAAAAAGGCAAATAAAAATAAAGCAAATATTTTAAAATTCTAGTCTTCATAAATCTATACTGGCACTGGATATATGATAGCCTGCAAATCTCATACTGCCATATAGAAAACTGGAATTGTAACAATGATTCATAGACCATTATTTGGTGGTATGAGATATTTGTTCTTATAAAAAATAATAATTCATATCAGTATCCTGAACATATTGTCAATGGTATCATACTACTAAATTTTATGTTTTACTTAGAAAAAAATCAAGATATTGGCTTCTATCCCTAAATGTTTGAATTTTCTCAAAGAAATTAAAAAGAAAAGGAGAAACTTACAGGCTGGATTAAGGCAGAAAGCCAACAGACCTTATACTTCAGTGCTTATTCTGTAAACTCTTAGCCCCAGGTGATTTTAACCCAAGTCTTTAACTATACTTCTACTTTTAAGCTCTGGATAAAGTCACAGTATTACTTTCAAGAATTCAGTCTTCAAACTATTCTTTGTATTCACTGAGGGTAAAAAAAATAAACACAACTATAAATGGCTGTGAAAAATAAAATATCCACTGATATTTACAGCTTTAAAATATTTATATTCTCTCATGTATACATTAAGGGATACTTCCTTTAAGACTTATGAAGGGTATAAACGGAACCATTTGACATTGACAACAAGTATAATATGAATACTTTTGTATAGAATAACAACTACCTACTCATGATTTAAACATAAAGGGATTTTTTTAAAAAAAGTAATTAGTATAAAATTAGACATTAGTCTATAATTTGAAAATATATTACCTAATTATCAATTTTTATGTTTATATTATTCAATATTATATTTATCTATATATTACTAAAATTGTAAGATTCATAACACTATTCAGTATAAGAATACTTTTTAAATTCAGAAACATGAAATTAATAAGACTTTGAGCTACATTTCAAATTTATTACAATGAACATGAGTATTCTGTAAATTAAATATTCTGTGAATTAATGAAGAGTAATACATTTGTTTTGAAGCCATAGTCTGTGATAGTAAAATTAAGTCACAAATTAAGATACTAATTATAAAAGGGCAAAGGTAGAAACAATAATTATGAACATAATAAATTTATAGATGTAAAAGAGTTTACGGTGGAAGAATCCACCTTACTTAACATGAAATAATGTCATTTTCCCCCTACATCATGTCAGCCATTACTCAATCTTAAAAACTCACATGAGTTTTTCCCAAGTAAATTTTTTTTACAAAAAATCTCATACATTAAAAATGAACACTGGCCCTTTATGACATATGTTTAAATACTACATAAGTTACACAAAACACAATAACTGATTTGTAACAAACAACTGTATGGTAGGTACATAAATTTACTATACATTTTTTTGATAAAATATATAGAACATGACAATAACAGGAGCCTCTATGCATAATAACTATCCTGAAAACTACAAATATCACTAAAAATACGGTATTAGAAATTTTGAATGTGTCATTGCAGTACTTATACTTTATTTAAAAAGTGATATAATTTTAAATAGATTCAATTCCTATAAATTAAGTTTGTGTCCATAAATTTAAAAAGGGCAATCACTAAGAGTCACATAAGTGTTCCTCAATGTAACACTAATAAATGAATAATTCAATTGATCAATAAATTAATTGATCAATCTAAGGATGAGACCTTGATAGTCTTTAAATAACTAAATAACAACCCTGGTATGTTTTATGTATGCTTAAAATAAAAGTTTTATGCTAAGACTTTAAGGCTTCTTTTGTAAGGAACTTATACTATGCTGTGGATATTTCCCTTTGATTTCTCAACTAAACACTCACTTGTTTGATGCGATCTGGATTAACGGTGGTCTGGGGTTGTAGAATGCTGACTGGTTCTGTCTTGGCCACATTTTGGGGCATTTCTCGAATTTTTTCTGCAATGAATCCATGAACTGCATTCAGTGCTTCAACTGTTCCCTGGATCAAGCACACTCGCTCAGTAGTACCTGTGGATAAAAGATTGATTTTCAGAAAATATTCCATATTTTGCATTAAAAAAAACTCTGAAAAAGGATGATATCATAATGCCAAAAAAATGTAACATGCAGAACTCTAATTTAAAAACATTTAATTGCACCAAACATAATATATACATGTCTCTTATGATTCCTTTTATAAATTCTTTTCTAGTTGTTTTAGTCTCAAAAGGGGTATATGGATTCCAGCTGAAGCAGAGATCCAGAGAAGTTGTGAACATATCGCTGATTCTTTGACATAATAAATATTTATTGAGTACTTAAAAAAGAACTTAGGGTTAGAAACTGGTAACATGCCAGTAGAGATCAATAAACCCAGTTTTCAAAGAGCTTACTCTTTTGGGGGAAAAAACCAGAGAATTGTAGGACATTACAATCTGAAAATAATGGTGGTAACAATATAGATAGTACATTTGTTCCATCACTTACCATGTTCTTCCTTTAATCATAGCAACACTCGTTACCTGATATTTTACATTTACTTTTTCACTTTTTCACTAGAATATAAACTCTAGGTGGAGTGTAAATTTGTTTTGTGCTGTAGTATCCTCAAAGTTTACAATAGCTTCTGACGCATAACAGGTACACTGTAAACATTTGTTGGATAAATGAATCAGTGCTGTCTTTACTGATGATATAATTTTAATAAAAAATATTAGGACTAAACATGAAATTTAAATAGTTTATGAAACTTGAAATTCATAAATGTTAAAGATATTAATAGTATTTATTTCATATCTTGTGAATAAAATGTAAATATATGATGCAAGACAAGACTAAGGTGAAATTGGGTCTAACACACAGGTCCTATCGCCTATTTTATACTTTACAGATATACATTAAGGCAATAAAAATAAATTAGTTTTTCAGACTATTCTGAGGCTTATTGTAGAAGCCTGGTATTCCACTGTAATCTTCTCAGTGTCCCAACATAACATACGAACTTGCTTCTAAGAAATAAGTATTTCTTTTCTAAACAGTTGTTTAAATGTTAAAAAAACATGGGATTTTAAAATTTATAAAAGATTTTTTGAATTAATGGAAACATTTTCAATTACCTAACATATTTCCTTTTGGTGCTACAGTTTCAAAATTCCAAGGTACTTTGTAAAATGTTTTAAAATGCATTCTGAAGGGCAAATTTGTGAAACTACAAATATTTAAAAAGTCGTAAGGAGTTTATACTGTTTTAAAGATTCTGACACCAAGACCAATTTTCTAGTCGTTTTGAAATTAAAATAATAGTAAAAGAATATCATTAATACTTCTAGAAGACAGAATTAGATTACAGGAATTAGAAGCAGAAATAAAAGAAAAACTTAGAGATATACCTAAATAAAATTGTCATGTTTTAAACAAGGAAAATTCAAATCTACAAAAATCTAAGTCTTCTGGATTTTACAAAATATTTCAACAGAAAATATATATGGCTTTCATTTGTAAGGGTGGATAAAGCCTGAAAAACCTCATGTGAGTCTGTGGGTTTAATTTTTCCAGTTTCTCTTAATCAGTTTTTCTCATTCTTATCTATCTTGATGTATATTGTGGTTCCTGCAAAAAAATGATCTAATTTATGGGGATACTCTAGGGAGTCTTTACAAGGCAATGTATTAAGTGCCCAATAAATGACTAGAAAGGAACTGATCAATGTAGCTAATACAAAGTGTGCTTATCCAGGTCAGCAGACAATATGAAACAGAGATCAGATTACATTCTTGTTTTTGAAGACAACTACAGAGTGCTCTTTTGTGGATGCCAAAACAGTCTAACTTAAATAGAGATTAAAAAAAAGAAAGAAAGAAAGAAAGAAAGAAAGAAAGAAAGAAAGAAAGAAAAGAAACAAACAAAACATGGCACTAAATAACTAAAGATATTATAAATCTATGTAGTCAATAAAATTCTGATAATACAAACAATGTCAGAGCACACAGTGGCCCCTACACTTTTCAGATTGTATAGACTAACAGATAGTGAGTGGAAATTACTAAGCCATAAAGAATTATGATTGTCTACAGCTAAATTTCACATATTAGCATCTGTGGGACACTTGAAAATAGTCCACGGGTTCACAATTGCAGTACATATTGTTTGAAAATTAAATTACATAATTTGCATTCAAACTATTAACATAAAAAAAGGAAAGAAAAAAGGAGATTCTATATCTGCCCACTCAGAAATGCTACAATCCTCAGAAGAGATGCTATCATATTCTTCTACTGAACGTATGGCCTTTTCACTCAGAAAACATAAAACTGTAATTTTTAGGAGAAAGTCACAAAAAAGGGAGACTGTCAGGTGTATCACCAAAATGTGTTAAAAAAAATGAGTCTATAAATCATAAAAGTTGCTGGTTCTGTCATTTTAAAGGCTTTTAGGCTCAATTAGTGTCTAAACTAAACTGCTTGTTGTTTATCATTTTATTTAACAGTAGCATTTATTTCTCTTTGAAAGAGACTAGAAACAAGAGGTGAAAACCAGTTACATAAAAGTACAAGCCTATATTTTGTATAAGATAGAGGTACATGAGATATCATTTAATTAATTAATTAATTAATTAATTAATGTTTTTGAGACAGAGTCTCACTTTGTCACTCAGGCTGGAGTGCAGTGGTGCGATCTTGGCTCACTGCAGCCTCCACCACCTGGGCTCAAGAGCGATCCTCACGCCTCAGCCCTCCAAGCAGCTGGGACTACAGGAACGCACCAGCATGCCTGGCTAATTTTTTGGATTTTTTTGTAAAAACAGGATTTCGACATGTGGCATAGGATTATCTCCTGAGCTCAAGTGATCTGCCCACCTCAGCCTCCCAAAGCGCTAGGATTACAGGTGTGAGCCACTGTGCCCAGCCTAAGAGACCATAAATTTAAAACTGCACTTTTAAGAAAGAAATCACGTGCAGGTATGGAGACAAAAATAAAATCTTTCGAAGTGTCCAGACAAAAAACAAAAGAAAAAAAAAAAGAAATCACAAAAAGTGTAATAAGAAGGAGCAATGCCAAATACAGGCACTGACATTTATAATGACTTTAAGTTTTGATTTAACATACAATATCAAATGTTAAAAACGCACAGGTTTCTAAAATCACATACATCTATCAGTTTTAATAGCAACGTTTTCATAGAAATTTAATAAAATATATTCTGTGCTACTATAAGTTTAGGTAAGTCAGTTACACAGTTCCTGTTTCTACCTAAGGTGAACCATCACTTATGCACTGGGCCCTGTACCCCCTTAACTACCAAGTCCACTGCTTCTCCAGTTAGAGTTATTTCTTATATCATAATTTTTTTCTATTGAATTATTCCCATCAGTAGGAAATATGTTGTAATTTCTACAATTTTTAAAGACATTGACAGAGTTAGAAAATTACTCTTTTGCAAATCTAATGACAAAATTAAGTTTGATAAAGATCATAAATGGATAAAATCATCAGATGAAAGGTTAATATAAAATTATCAACAAAAACATCAGGTATTGCCAACTGACTTCAATGATCAACATTAGCATGATGAGTATGAAAACCAAACATTATATGCTTCTTGATGTGATGTAATAAAAAGCACACAGAACCAATTATGATGTACTCAAAAGTAGTTGAACCTAAATCTAATCAAACAGCACTACAGATTAATACTGAAAACAGAAAAATAAATGATACCATAACGAAGCAAAGACACAAAAACAGTTTACAATACAACTGATGCAGCTTCGTCAATAAAGAAGAGATTACTCTCCGGACAGAAGACGACTTAAAATGTACTACGACTTCATGTAAATCAGAATTTGGTTGGGTCCAAAATTAAACAATTTTCACTTGAAACAAAATTGAGGCAATGACAAGGACAGAGTATTAGTATTAAATAATTACTGTTAACTTTAACATGTGAGATTATGGCATCAGTTTACAGAAAGTGTCTTTTTTTTTTTCTTTTCTGAGATGAATACTGAAATACGTACAGGTAAAATGTGACTGAACTTGCATCAAAATATTTCTGCAACAACAAAAAAGGAGTAAACTTTTTAGGCATGACAAATCTTGATACTGTTGATATAGATGAAGGGTATAAAGAAATTCATTGTACTATTTTATATATGCCTCTTCTAGTTGCTGCTCAATTTCCTTATCCCTCAAAATTCCTTGAATGAGTTTTACAGATACTCTCTTTCTACTTCCTCATCACCCAATCTTGAATATACTCCAATATGGCTTTTTTTTCCCCCTTGAATTTAGTAGATTCTACAACTCTACTGAAAGCATTCATCACGGCTGTACCTGGATAAATCTAATCTTCAAGTCTTCATGTTGTTTGCCCCATCAGCAGCATTTTATGCTGTCAATAGGTGACCATTCTGTTCTAAAAACACTTCACTTGGCTTTCAGAATGCCACATGCTCCTGGCCCATGGTTTTTACTCAGTTCATTAACTCATTTGATAAAAATGTATTCAGTCCCTACTAAATAAGTATCATATTAGAAGCTGAAGAGACAGCAATGACCAAACAGGAAAAACAAACAAACAAACCCTGCCTTCGTGGAGCTCATATTCTAGTTCATGTGGACAGACACTATATATAAGAGAAATAACACATAGAGAAAGAATACTAAAAGAAAATAACAGTTATGAAAAACATTGGGAGACAATGACAGGCTCAGCAGAGACAAAAACAACAGTATGAAAGGGACTTTGTCATGTTTACTACTGTATCTCCAGTGCCTAGAACAGTGCCTGGCACACTACAGATACTCAACAAGTATTTTGTTGTTTTTCTTTTTTAAATAAACAACTTACTGAGTCTAAAATTTCTCGTCTGTATTTTGAAACATATATGTGACTGATTTCTAAGGCCTTTTTAATCTACAAAATATCTATAAAGCCAGTAAGTCTCTTGGTTTATAAGATCATTCAATGAACACAAAAAGGAGGTATATTTTGGAAAATGATTTAAAAACTATAATAAGTTGCAGTT